GTTCCCTTCGCGGCCGCTAGTTCCGACAATGATGCGTCGGTCTCAGCCTTGTCTGCTGCCGCGGCATCCTTGGATGACTTGCTCTCACTCGCAGCCGCATCTTTGGATTCGGCGGCAGCCTTTGAGTCGGTCTTCGCCGCCGGGGTGCTTTCCTTGGGCAGGGGCTTCTTAGCCGCTTCGACATTGAAGCCCGGCGGCGGGCCGGAGGACTGGCCGTGGTTGTGGTGGTCGGTACCCAGATGACGGACAGGTACAAGGAGGGCGAGGGCGTTTACTCGTCGAGGAAGATGTCTTGCGTTCCGGCCGAGCACAGCTGACGAAACACCGAGGCTAGAGAGCGCACGCGCTGGAAGATGTTAGAGAAGAATTGCAGGCGTGTCCAGTCCGGCACAAAAAAAGACAGCCCATGGAGATGGGTGAGCGGGCAGGAAGCATACGCAGGGGATGAACTTACCGTTGCCCAGGAGAGGGTTGGCAATCGCCGCCCGACGAGCGACACTGGCGGAGGCGCTCATTCTGCAGCGGTTGACTGGCAATCAAGAGAGTTTGATGGAGTTGTTGTGGATAAAGAGCGGACTACCGAAGAATAGCGATCATGGGCGACTATCTGGAGGTGGGCAGTATACTACAACTAAAGACAATGATGGAGAAGTGGAAGATGTACAATGATGCGAAACGAACTCAAGAATTCTGGAATGGAGGGCAACCGATCGCATCAAATGGAATGCTACCACGACTTGTCCCTGGCTTCCGAAACCACCCATGGCCGGGGGGGCCCAGAGACTACCAGAAACAGCACGTGCGAGATCACGGGGTTTTGCCTCCTTTGCTTCTCTCGGGGTTCGCTTGCAGACAATGAAAGGCGGGCTGGCCGCTGGCACTGCGGGAGGATGGAGATGCTGAGCAAGCACCACAGCACTGTATGTATGTACCTTCGAACCTTAGAAAGACCTGTAGGGACCACCTCAGATCCCGGTTCACTTTGTCTGAAGATACGTACCTAGGCATGCTGGGCCGAGCCCGTGCCACTTGTCAGTTCTGGGCTGGCACAGCTGGTTTGTGTGCTGCTGCTTTGGCTTCGACCACTGTTTGTATGGTTTTCCACCCGCTCATTCGTTCGTCTGGCACCATCGCCACAAGGATGAGCCAAAGACGACGGCCGTCTCCTGTAGATCGGTGGGTCATCCTGGCCTTAGCTACCAGAAGCTTGACTTTCTGGGCTTTCGGGCTGTGCAAATCGCTCCCTTAACCCGTGTCGGTGTTAGTAGACAGCAACCGGCAACTAGTTACCGGGCAGTGCGTTGTCGAGGAACTCTGTGGGCTGAACCTGGCCATCCGCCTTTTGTTGGAACTTGAACTTCTTACAAGTTACGTGGGCTTCTCAGATGATGCCGTTTGGCAATGTGGAGGAGACAGATTGGCGGTATCGGGCAGTGCCGTCCGCAGTGGTCAATTTGCAGCAGCCTGGCACAGTTCCTGGGCTGTTGTTACTTGTGTAGCTGACAATTTGAACTGCTAGAATAGGAGTCAAGAAGCCATTGCAGTAGACATAGAAAACTTAGGGATATTGTCTCGTTGTATCGCCAACGTCAAGCCTCCTCCATCGCTGTGCAACTGGTAGCTTTCTCTGACCAGGAGAGTTTGTGGCGCGAAACACTGAGCAAACAATTGGGCAATCACTGATGACTGACGGACAATCCAAGTGCGGCATCGGAATGTTGCCTACTGCGTATGTGCTGGCTGTGGCAGTAGTGTTGCTAATAGCAAACCGTAAAGCGCCCTCAACAATATCCGTAAGACTCCCTGAATTTTCTCCCGACTCCGCTCGACATTTTTTTGGTGGGAAATCACAAGCTCGTCATTCGACTGCTCACTTTCCCTTGCCAGCTGGCACCAGACTACGACCTTCTCGAGGTACGTAGATGCTATCTTATCTCAACATCGTCACCAGCACCAGCACCAGCGGAAGAGTGACGAGACTCGGAGACACTGTGCCCTGGCTGCCTTAGCGTACCCCGGACTTTAGAGCTTGAGACCGGCCGACCGACGAGTCGAGGCAAACTTGGAAGCAACCAACCAGCCCAAGGCTCAGGGTCCAGCACCAGCTGCCAACTTGACGGGGGTGAAGTTGCGAATCCCGACCCACCCCGAGAAGCCAGCAATTCAGTCGAGCCAGTGACGGCGCACCGGTGGAGGAAGATTGACACCAGCAAGCACGCTGCCACGCTGCCAATCTCTACGGATAGAACCAGCGGAGGGTCTTTGGAGGAGAGAGAGAGACAGCGAGATCCGGCCGTCGGCCACATAGCCAGAGTCGACACACGTTCCTCGGGTCCCCTCAACACCCATCCGTCAAATCGACCGATTTCCAAGCATCCCCGTCCGAGGTGCGCACCCCCCGTCGCTGCACTCGCCTGCATCCCACCACCGCGGTTCTACGTCCGCTCGCTGTTCTCCACCCTCCTTTTCGGCATTCCTTCACAACCACCTCAACCTTTGCGCTTCCTCTCTCTTTTCTTCCTCCTTCTTCTTCCTCCCCTCCCTAGATTGTCGCTATATACCAACGTCCGTCGTCCTGTAAAGATCATGGCTTTCTCCTGAATACCCTCCGAACACGATCCCGTCTGGGTCTCGCGATTCCGACTCGTTCCTTTTCCCCCGCACAATTTGGGGCCAGCGCCATCTCATTCCCGCCAATTTCGAAGCTACCGATACGTAGTACCTGCGGATATACCTCGAACCAACCCCTCCTCCGTCACTCTCAATTCAACCACATTACCTGCGCCAAACGTTCATTGATTCGTGTATACTATGAGACTCCGCAAAGCTGCCCGCGTTATTCTCGTCGGAGCCCCCGGTGTTGGAAAAGGAACGCAGTCCGAACGACTCCTTCAACGGTTTCCCCAGATTCAGTCTATTAGCACCGGAGACCTGCTTCGCAACAATGTCAAGCTCCGGACCCCCCTCGGTAAGTGTCACATGCTATTGCTGCCTGCCAGCGCTTGCTCTACACATCCTCCTACCCATGCTGACCTCTCCTTCTTGCAGGTATCAAGGTCGAGAACACCATGAAGTCCGGCGGACTCGTGGCTGATGATCTGATTATGCGCCTCATCTCCAACGAGATGTACAAGAACGGCTGGCTTCTCAACAGCCGCAGAAGGCCTCAGGTTATGACCTTGTCATCTTCCGCCGCCGCAGTCGACTCGTTCTACGAAGAGCAGCTAGATGACTTTGTCACGGCTACCGGAGCTCTCGACAGCCATGGGCCCCCCGAGGCATCCGAAGACCCCGACGCCTCTTTCATTCTGGATGGTTTCCCACGGACTGCCACCCAGGCGGCGGTTTGCGACAAGTTGATTCCGATCAACCTGGTGGTGTCGCTCAAGACCCCGTTCAACGTCATCATGGAGCGTATCTCGGGCCGCTGGGTCCACGAGCCCTCGGGACGCGTGTACAACACATCCTTCAACGCCCCCATGATTCCCGGCAAAGACGATGTCACCGGAGAGCCCCTCACCCAGCGCCCGGATGACACTGAGGCGGTGTACAAGGAGCGCTTCCGCAAGTTCCAGGAGACGAGCGAGCCTCTTTTGGAACACTACGATAAGAAGGGCGTTCTCTGGGAGGTCGAGGGCATGAGCAGCGACGAAATCAGTCCCCTGCTCTTCGACGAATTCGAGAAGCGCTTCGTTCATTGATTTGAATTCATCTTTTGTTATATCTACAGGAGTTATACGTGGTCAAGATACCTCGGGCTGGCCAGAAAGACCCATGGCTAAAAACGGGCAGGTCGGACGGACGGGAATAATCCCCCAGGGCGGATGCAGCGCAAACAGTCTGCAGCTTGAAATGTCGATAGTTATCATGAGTATTTTTAACAATGTACAAATATTTCATCTCTTACACGCATCTCCTGGCTGTGCTCTGCACGGTCACTTGCCTCCTACGTACACACGATTGGATAAGGTGAGTAGGCGCGTAATGCTAACCCGCCAAACCTTTGTACGTAAGGTAAGTCTAAACGAGTTTGTTTGAGACTCCCCTCAAGTTCAAGCAACTAAAACAGCTTAGTCTTGCAACCATCTGAAAGTCGGATTTCCGAGTAAGGTCGACTTCGAAAGTGGTACCTCTTTGCATGAATGATGGGTAGAACTAGACCTCGGGTAGTATTCTAGTAGATGCTGTAACGTATGCCGCGGGGTAAGATAGCCATCGGGCGGCAAGGGTGCCTTGCTGTCATCCAAACAAGCACTTCTCTCTGCCCGAGCCACTGCGACACCGCGGTCAACGTGGTAGGTCGGCTCTTGGGTTACGCGGTTCACCCTTTGGTCCGAGACCCCTCTCATCTCTCTGGTTCGACGGACTACACACGTACACACATCTACGGGACATTGTAAGGTACTGTGAGGCTGTTGAGACACCTCCGGATACCTCCCCGCCGCCATCCGGCGCCGAGTGATTCCATATTCTTCGGCGGGGAGAAGGGGGTAGACTTGAGCTTGCCGTCCCGTGGCTACCGTGACGTACCGTGGCAGCCAAAGGTCCGGCCCGGATTTAATGCAGGGTCCACAGTCTCGGAGGAAAGCTGCGGGTTTCCGGGGCACACCGACCACCTTGCATGGTCAAGCCCTTTGTTCTGTCAGACGACGAGTCTGGTAGGCTTGCTAGTGGTGCCAAGGCAGCCTCGAAGTCTTGTAGGTTATTGAATAGGTTGACTGCTGCTGCTTACCGGATGGTCGGACTTAAGGCGGAAGTTCTCACGGTCTACGGCTTGCGGCAACCTCCCTGAAAGTGTCGTCTGGCGTGGAAGAGATTGATAGATGAGTATATATGTATATATGTACGAAGATGGCTTGATGATGATTCCTGGGCTGGTGAACTCTGTCTCAACGCGAGCTCGGTCTTCTGGTGTATTAATCTCTCCTAGAAAACAACGCGATTCTATCTACACTTACACGCCTAAATTCCATTTCGATACCTAGCCTTCAACATTAATCATGTCTCAAGTCCCTCCTCCTCCTCCTAGTCGGTACACCGAGCTGCATAAATACGAAAACCTCGCCGGGCCAGGCGACGCCCGCCCAACGGCCCTCCAAATCGTACAAGACCAAGACCTCGTCGGTAAACTCCCGCATAAAGTCATCCTTGTCACCGGCGTTTCCTCGGGCCTGGGCATCGAGACGCTCAAAGCCCTCGCAGCAACCGGCGCAACCGTCTACGGCACGGCGCGAGACCTCTCCAAGGCGCGGGCCGCCTTAGACAACAACGAGGAGGGAGAAGGCGAGTCTCTCGCCTCGGCGCCAAATGTGCATCTCCTCGAAATGGACCTCGCCAGCCTCGACAGCGTACGGGCCGCGGCGGCGGAGTTCAAGAGGCGCAGTGGCCGGTTGGATATCTTGATTAACAATGCCGGGGTGATGTATACCCCCGAAGGGAGCCGAACGAAGGACGGCTTCGAGATGCAGTTTGGGGTGAACCACCTCGCGCACTTTCTCCTCTTCACGGAGCTACGAGACCTCATGGCCTCGTCATCGACGCCCGGGTCCGCGGCGCGGGTTGTGAATGTCACGTCCTCGGGCCACAGGCTGCAGGGGATGAACTGGTCCGACGTCAACTTTTCCCGGCCCGGCGCGTACGAGGGGTACAGAGCCTACGGGCAGTCCAAGACGGCCAACATACTCATGGCTAACGGCGTGGACCGGCGGTATGGGGTCAGAGTAGGAGGCGGGGGGATCCACGGGTATAGCGTCCACCCGGGCACGGCGATGACGGGGTTGCAGGTCGAGGTGAAGGAACAGATGGAGGCGCTTAAGGGGGACAAAGCGGCGTGGAAGCCGGTGAAGAGTCCCGCGCAAGGGGCTGCTACGGCGGTGCTGGCTGCGTTGGGGAAGGAGTTTGAAGGGAGAGGACCGTTTTATCTGGAGGACTGTGAGGTCAAGGGAGAGACAGGGGAGAATCTGGGATGGGCGGGCGAGGGGTATGCTTCGTGGGCTTGGGATAGGGGGGAAGAGGAGAGATTGTGGGCTTTGAGCTTGGAGATGGTTGGGTTGCCGGAGGAAGCAGGCGGCGACTGGTGAGAATATAGTCTTCGTATATGGTGATAGTTTTTGAGTGAGACGTTTGGAAATCACATTGACCAGTTTGTATGAGTATTCTCTTGTTGAGTAAGGGACGCAAAGTCCTTTTGTTCTTGGGACGGTGCAGACGTCTCAAGGTTCTTCTCAAATGTAAACCTTCCTACTCCTCATCATATTTTGGAAAGAATCTGAACTCGCCGCGGTGCTTAGGGACATGTTCTCAGCCTTCTTGTGGTGAAGAAAACGAGTTGCCCTGGCTCACAAGTAATGCCAGCGTTGGGAGAAAGGAAAAGACACAGGAACGGCTTGGCCAATGGGTTTCGGTTACCAAAAGGCATTTTAATCCTCACCTCTTTCTTAAATTGGTCTCTATAATTACATCTGGGAGCACCTGGCCATGTGTTGGTGGTCGAAATTAGTTAGCTTGATGCTTTGGAAAGTGACGTTCCTTCAAGTCTCCCAGTGGGTGACGAAATGAACTGCCGCCAACAAGTTCTCTCTTGCCTACATTTCTAGCCGTATTACTTGTGATACCACAACTTTAATCAACTGTGTAATGTAGTTCACTTCTCACATTACACACCTCGAGAGGCATGGAAGGAAAGAAAACTTAAGCAATGGACGGCACGCTAACTTGTCATACATTTGCGTCCTCAGCAGGAGCTTCCGAGTTTTGAAGGCTGAATGAAGCGTTCAATCGAAACCAGATACCGCAGAGAGCACGCCTCCTGTAACACGAATACTACGATAGAGGTTGAACAAGATCCGAACATATCACAAACATGAACTGAACATCAAGTGTAGTACTCTCTTATTCCTAAGTATGGCTGCGGTGTCCCCCTGGTCCCGCATAGCAAATCCACCTGCAAAAAGCGTTTGTTAGTCTATTCACCAACATCAAATAACACGGCGAATTTAATAAAGGCAGAAATGACTACAAATGTCGTCGACTTAACCTCATGCAAGCTCAATCCAGTTTCCGCTGGATGGTCGTGGACGCACCGTCCCATCTTGGCAGCTTTCCGCCCGCACGTGACCGTCATATCTTCGGAAATCATTTCGCGAGAAAATGGCGAGAGTTACGGGTACTAACCAAAATCATACCAGAATCCACAACAGCATCTTTTCCCCCCGCGAGTCGCAACCGGGGCAAGGGGGAAACTAGACAAAAAGAAAAGCTCTCGCGACCTCGTGGCGGGACAATCCGCTTTTTCCTCCTCCGCCCCGTCTGCCCCGTGGAGAAAAAAAAAACAGGTCGACCGTCGGCAGGTCGGTCGACTCGGCCCTACCCACGACGTTAAGGACCAAGTCCACAATGACCCCGAGATGACAGACCACTTTCCAGTTTGCATCCCGAGGGGTCGGCTGCTCCGGGCTTTGGCCGACGTTAAGTCATGTTGACTTTTTTTTGGGCGTTTTCTTCCTCTTTTCCCTACCTCTGTTGTTTTTCAACAATTTTTCGCCGGGCCCTTCTTGGCGCTTTGTGTTTGGGTATTTACTATTCGTCTTTGGCTTTCCTGACGAACAGGCTGTCTGTCTGTCTCATTTCGCATCTCATGCCCTAATGGAATCGATCAGCGTCTGCCGGATACCACGTCGTCAGCCCTAGATAGCAATCATAGCATGAAGACGAAGGGGGGTCTTTGCGGGCGCAGAAAAGCAGAAGTTCTCTCTCGACCATTGAGACGGAGACTTGACTGGTGACCGGGTGGTCGTTCCCTTCAGCTTTCATTTGATTCATGTTCAACAGCCCAAACCAAACAAAACTCAGAGAAGCAGGTGCAACCCCCCCCCCCCCCACCCCTCAACAAGCGTCTTGCGTCGATGCGAAAGCGTATGAGCGTCAGCGGACCGAAAAGAGGTGCGTGGAGACTTTTTGGAGACAGGTCCTCCACATTTCCCCCGAGTGGGAGCCCGGACGAACTCCCCTTTTCACGCAAGGCGGGAGGATGATCGATTTCACCCAACGGGGGTCATCGCTATCGCAACCCCCTGCAGGACGAGAGAGACTTGTAGGCTCGCAGCGAAGCAGACTCGTGGCAGCGTATGTAATCGTCGTTCCATCGGTTCCAAATGCCGAAAGAAGGATTCCCAAGGAATGGCTCGAAGGAGGGCTGGGCGTCAGCCTTTGGCTCTCTGCCAAGCAATGGTCTCCAAGTCTAGGCATCATTGTTGTCGTTGCTGCTGCTGCTGCTGCTGCTGCTCTTTCTTCTTCCACTTCTCTCTCTCTGTATCTCTCGCACGCTTTGCATATCGCTGTGTCGACTGTCTTTCCAAATGGTCCGAGGAGCAGCCGTGAAGCAGCGAAGCTTGTTGCGGGAATACGACGTAGGTCGAGTTTTCCCCAAGGGTTAAATTTGGATCTTTTTGCCGTCATGGCCCATGGGAAGCTTTTCAGTCCGACCTTTTCCCCGTTCCATGGTCACCCATGTCGTTGGGTCCACTACTGTATCGGCTACAGCCACATCTTAAAATCAGCTTTTTGCTGCAGGACTGCGGAAACACGCTGTCTGTCAATCAGTGTCATAGTGTGTTGGGCTCCGATCCCCCCAGGCTCGGCTCGAGTGTAGCATTCTGGACGTATGCTATGTACAGTAGTAGCGTGCTCCATACACTAAGAAGTCTGAGTATCTGAGAAAGTGGGAGAGTTGCACTCCGTAGAAAGAGGCGTGAGACTCAAGGACAAGCGCCCGCTGCCCACCCGCCCCTGTCCGGGGAACGCCCGAGGCCTTCATCCCGGCTTTTTAACCAACTCCTTCCATATTATCCCCTCCACGTCCCCATCGCAGGAGCTGAGCTGCGCAGTGCCCGCTCTTTGGGACTTTCCTCAGTTGAAAGAAAGCACAGTCAAAAAAGCAGGAAGGAACCTTCATTGGCGCGTTTATATCCAAGAGCAAGCTTTGGGAACTTGGCAAGGACGACCTTTCTTCAAGACTCAACGACCCTGGCAAGAGAGACTGGACGAAGACGACCAACAACAGCACACCATCTCCAGACTCCACGTTACATCCCCTTTTTCTTACGGATTCATTGCTTCCAGGGAACCCGGCTGCCACTCTAACGCCTTCGAAGACGACCAGTCCTCCATTCCTTGGCCCCCCCACGTATCTTTGCTTGACGGACGGTTTTCCACTTCTGGGTTCTCCCATTTTCCCGCCGCCTCATCTGCCTTAATCCAGGCTTATCCTTTTTCAATTTCGTTTCTGCCTACCGACGGATACAGGCGACGGATACACCAAAGTGAGGGACCGCCGATCGAGAAACGACTGTCTATCTGCCCTACCGTAGCTCCCATACCCTACCTTTTTATCCCCTTCCCCAACGTCGCCTGGGAAGACGAAAGAAGGGCCTCAGGACCTGCAGAGACGGGACGTACCTCGAATCCTACGCGCGGGCCCCTGCATGCGCCAGCAGCTGTGAGGTGCTTCTTTTGGTCGGCCGGGAAGAATCACCACGAACATACGAACTACATCTAGAAGAAGCCAGGAACGTGCGGTACTGAGGGACGACTTTTGCGTTATTTTCCCAATCTTTCAAACAAATCCCCGCCGCCCGCCGCGCGGCGGGCCTGCAATGTCAAGATGGAGGAGGAGAAGCACAAGTTCATCATCCCGATCCACGAACGGCGTCAACCCGGGACCGTGACCATCGACCCGAATTCCGTACCGTCACAACCGCAACACCAACCAACAACACCACTACCAAACAATGAGGCTCAATCGCCCATAGATTCCTCCCCCAGGATACAGCAAATCGAGTCCTTCACTTCCTACCCGCCGGGCGCCCACCTCCGAGGGGACGACATACCCGACGCCTCGCCGCCCTACCCAGAGTCGAGAATCAGCTCCGAGGCGCCCGTTGTCACACCGGCGCCAGTGCCCGCACGAGGACAAAGCCACCACCACCGCGTCTCGGCGCCGGCTCTGGCGCCTGCCGACCCCGAACGGCAACAGGGCGGCACCTTGGCGGCATGGAGGCAGAGGTTTGATGGTATCGGCGGGAGGGGGCCACAGCAGCACCCGAGGAAGACAATCTTGGGTCTGACCGTGCTACGCTTCTGGGCCGCAGTCGCACTGGGAGTCATCATCGTCGGCGTCGCCATCGCCGTGGGTCTGGCGTTGGGTTTGGCTAACCGGTACGTCTGACGAACGAGCTTACTATTTACCTACCTTACCTTTCCACCCATTCCTCCTGTCAACTCTTTGTCTCTCCTCCTCCCCCGTCTTCGTCATGACAGCCTCGAAGGCTGACGGAAAGCGTCCTCCTTTTTGCGAAATTCAGCCCCTCCGACGAAAACGAACCAAAAACCGTAGTCCAACAGCTCGGCGTCCCTTCGCCCGCCCCGATCAACCCGTACTGCCCGCTAGCTACTGCGGGCGTGAACACGACGGTAACACCCTACGACGCCTCTGGTTCCCCCATCCGCTTTAACAACGACGAGGTCATGTCTTTCGACGTCCTCTGCAACACGTACTACCCGATGCGCCAGGGGATCAACCCGTACCTCCGCGACATCCTCGTCATGACCGTCCCGGATATGCTCACCTGCATGACGCTCTGCGCTCAGTACAACCAGGGCTACAGCGACGCCGTTGGCGACGACGTGTTCCTTGACGGCGGCGGCATCTGCGTCGGCGTCGCGCTCGTCAAGGGCACGGCGCAGTTCTGTCACTTGCAGAACGCCACGGGGATCAACCAGACCACCGCGTCTGGCGGGTTCGATGTCGATAGCGCCGTGCTTTCGGGCCAGTGGGCCAGCCTGACGAGCGTGGAACAGATTCGAACCTTTGGCGGGAATATTGACGATGTCATTGGCGCCAACGCGACTACGACTACGACTGCAGCCGCAACGGCCACGACCGGTTGATCCAACGACGAACCGACGTCCCGGTAGATTGTTGGAGCGATTTTCATGTCAATACTTCATTCCCGTGTAATGAAACGAGGGATTCTGTGTTTTTGGTTGAAGCGATTTGGAGTATTTATCGACCCTCCTCAACACCTGGAACCGTTCATCAAGAGTCAACGCTGTTCTCTCTTGGTCTGACTTTTGGTCCTGGTGCGAATTCACTCTTTGGGGAAGGAACATTTGCGATAATATACAGCGATGACATTGGCGAAGCGTTGTGTTGGATATATTCGAGCGAATTTGGAGCGAGTTTGGAGGCGCTTATGACAAGGGAGCTCCCAAGTTTGCGATGTTTTGATCTACGAAATGGGAGGCGCCCGGAAGGCACGGCGAGCCCCTGACTCGAGACTAGTGACAGCTTGCGAAGAAGGCGTGCCTGTCCACGAACGAGACATGGTTGTATAAGCTCATTAGTAGTGTCCAGCATTTTGGACGAATGTGTCTGGAATGCCGCAAATATACGCAAGAGGCACCAGGCGCAGACTATAGATGACGCTGCCAACACAAGGAACATGAATGGAAACTGCATACATCATGGAAAGTCAACTGTGTATTGATTCTCTCGTAAAACGTACAACAATTTTATACCCTCAAAAGAGAACCATGTCCAAAAACTCCGCTTTGAAGACCGTCTCTTTGTGGCCCTCGTACGCTGTTCACTACAAATACTTCTGCTAGCACGACGCTTCCCGCTTCGGTGGCCTCGTGTCCACTTAGCGCTAGACAGCCTTCTCCGAGGCGTCAGTGTGTGAAGCCGAGCCCTTACGGGACGCGGTGAGTCGAGGAATGTAGATATTCAGGCCACCAGGTTCGAGCAACGGGACAAGTATGTGGCCCGAGGGCTAGTTGCGCCACTCAGAACCGTTGTCGATCCCGGCGGGTGTGCCATTGCTTCCGGACGCCTTGTTCGTATCGTCGTCATCATCATCGTCCAGCACACGGGCGAGCTCGTCGGGATCCTGCATCTTGGCATCGGGGTCAATGACACCCTCCTCGAGCTCTTCATCCCGGCGCTGGTTGTCCCGGTCGGTATCCAGAACACCCTCATCAGCGCTGACTGAGATGCCACGGGCACCCCACTTGGGCCGTCCACCACCGCGGCGGCCCTGGCCATCGTCGTCGCCGAGAGCAGGGGCGCTCTCCTCGTCGTCGGAGTGGGCATCAATGCGCTTTCCAAAGATTCTGTTGAGCAGCCAGCCTCTACGCAGGTCGTCGGCATCAACAATGCCACCGTTGCGGAGCTTGACGCGTTGGCGAGTGTAGTATACCCAGGCGAAGTCGACATACAGCGCCGTCTGGATAATGCCGAAGATGACGGAGACCGTGTTTGGCGCCTTGTCGTTGATATCGAGCTCGCGCGTGATCCATCCGATCAGGTATAATCCACGGTACGAGCCAAGAGTGACGAGGTAGAAGGAGTCGATGACGGTCGGAACGGTGGTCTGGCGAAGCAGGAGCAGCTGGGGCAGGACGCAGATGGATTCGAGGATCTGGCTGAAGTCCCAAAGCCACTGTTGGCATGACGTTAGCAGCTGTATGACCAGCAGTGACTAGCATTTCGTGCGAGGTCTTTACTTACGACGCGGAAGCTCCAGTAGCTCTCAAAGATGAGCATGGCAAAGGGAGACAAGACGAGCGAGAGGCCGAAGACGCCGGCGCCGACCTTCCACGAGAGCTCACGTTCTCTGGTGCGGGGGAAGATCCACTGCATGGCCCCGATGATGTAGAAGGATGATGAAATGTAGAATATCTTGAAGATGAAGTTCCATGCTGATTGTTCGGAGAAGATGTCGAGGTAGCGCGTGCAGAAGACCAAGGCGTACAAACCCTGGGTGATGAGGGAGACACCTGCGCAGACACCATCAGTCAACAGGCATTCGTGGTATAAAATCGGGCAGCGTACCTTCAGCACTCCTGTTGCGATGTATCGCAATCATCAGGATGCATTTGGAGAGGAGATGGGAGATGTCTCCCATGAAACGAAATACCTGGCCAGCTAGTTAGCGGACTGCCTCGGGAATCACGTATCTAGGTCGACGCAGCACGTACGTTCCACGCAGTCATGGTGCCGGATGGGAAGTCGAGCTTCCAGCGTATTCCGATGTGTAGAGAAGTTGTGATGTGGTTGGTGTGAGGGAATCGGGGAATGCGATTGCGACACGCAAACAAGAACGGACGGGAAAAGGGAACGGCAGCTCCGTTTCACATCACACGAAGGCCGGCGAGCTGCCCACGCTGGAAGGGGGAGAATAGAATCGGATGAATCTCCGATGGAGAGGCCGGATCCGTTTGAAGCGAAGCTCGGCGATGGGAAGGGGTGAGATGGGTATAAGCAAGCCGAGGAATGAAGCTATTTCCAAGTTGAAAGTGCGGGAAGGTTACGAAGCTCGAGGTGCCCTCCTGCCAGTTTCCAGATTCAGCTCTTACGCCGCGCGGGCAGTCACGCAGTTGCGCCCCCCAGCTGCACCTGCACCAGCTGGCCTTATCAGCTCGAGCCTGCGCCTTATCCGTGCTGGGGGAAGGTGACCACAGCCCCAGGCCCCCAGCCACGTTGTCCTGACAGGAAGAGATTCCATTGGCTCGTATTTGGCAGGGTCGCTTATGTAACCCCCACCTTGAGGGATAGCGCCAGTGAAGAAAGGGTGGATATTGCCCCGACATTACCTGCGCTGCTGCGCGTATTGCAAAGGCCATGCCCAATTGAGAAATGCATCTCCAGGCGGGGGGCATGAGCAAGGTAGAAGAAGCTGCTTATTGACCGAACTTGGCTGCCTATGACACAAGGGTTGTTTGTTTGACGATTTGGATGGCCTTCCTCAGAACGTTTCGGTCGTCCTCAAAGGTCAGTCTCTGTACAGCTTCATCAAGACCAAAGAAGCTCGCACTAAACTGAGCCTCCCCACCGACCGCCTCTTCCGCAGTTCCCTCCTCAAGAGTCGCGACATACCACCAGATGAGTTTCACCCCAGATCCCCCATCAACGTCTCGCATCGTCAGCATAAACGGCTCCGTGAGTCCTCGACGCGCGGCTGCTTGATCTGGGATATTCGCATCGTCATCCGGTCCCGTCGCCCGCGTAGCCATATCAACAGGCAGAAGTCGGCAGCGGAAGCCCGTCTCCTCAAGCACCTCTCGTAAGGCTGCCTCATGCCTCGACTCGCCGCAATTGCGTCTGCCCTTGGCCAGGAGCCATTCGTCTGTGGATAGGTAATGAATCAGGCAGACCCTTGCCGGGTCTTGGGACAAGTCGAAGGGGATTGCGCCACAGCTCTCGACAAAAGCTTCAGAGGCGTACTGCCTGGTGACATAGTTGGAGGCTGCCATTTTGGGCCTGCCTTACCCGCTGGCTTGGGTCGGTCTATATTGGTAGCGCGAGCGGAGTCCTCTTCCCAAGTTCCCGCAGAGTCGATCTCATGGCCATCTAGCAGGATGGTGTTGTATTGCAGAGTCGTCAGTGCACAGGCTCGGCGCTGTTGTTTTTGGCGGGGACCCTGGTCTCGCTTGCTTCCGCGCCGGTCTACGGATATTCGTACAAAAGCTGGCCGGCCGTGCTTTCTTAGGCCGACCGGGTTGCGCAGCTGTTCATGGCGCTAGTCGCCGACGAAGGCCAAGATTTCCAACGAATTTGTCCAATTGTCAAATCAGAAGCCACTGTGCGATAATGAAGCTGGGTAAGGTGCTAAGAGACGAGAAGTCGACGATCGCATTCGCTCCACACTATGTGCTATGTACTCAGTGTGTCAGTACCGCAAATTCGGTAGGGCCCGAGGTGACTCTGAGCATGAACTTCGATATTACCATCTTTTGGACTCGGTGCAACCGATGGCCTTTTTTCTGATGTCGTCCCAGGCTATAACGTATCTCGGGGACTAGTGTGCCAGCTACCTCTGCTGACAAGCTTAATTCCCGGAATTTAGTCTTTTCTACCATCAACTCTACCCACGAGGATAGCTGCACTTGTATCTTCACTTCATGGACAAGTCAGGATGTTGAGCACAGACAGAGGATAATGCTCTAGAATAGTAGGATCTCATTCTCGAGCCTTGACCGAAATTCATGAGTCGGATCGCCCATAGCACTACCGAGATCCCACATGCCACTTATCATGATGGAATGAAATGCAATGACCAATAACCAGGCCACGCATCTCACCGCGTTGAATGACACTCTGTAATCACAATCAAGCCAAACGGCTTCCGGCGACGATGAGACAACAAACGCGGCCACCCGAGCGCAAAACCACAAAGCTCCATCCCGTCCTATGTGCAATTTCCAGCGGTCCCCCAAATGAGCCAAATGGGGATACAGATCGAAGCCAAAAAGCAATCGGAGCAGTATCCCCCTTGGGCCCGCTTGAGCCTCATTAAATTCCACAGCATTGCGCCGCGCGCAGCAAAGGACAATTAAGAAAGACGTCGTAAGCACATTGTTAACGCTGCGTGGAGTCGCCCCCCCCCCCCCTCGGGATGTGGGCGGCAGTCAGGTAGTCATCGCCCATAGCACCATAGCACCATAGGATATTCCCATTCCAAAAAAGCAACCCAACGTATGCAAGGGCCACCCAATGCCGGTCCGCCCGCGATATCTTTAGTGCGGGAAGAGGTGCGGGACACACGGCAGCGCCAAACGGCACCGTGGGAGAAATGGGGGGGCACAATATGACGCGGCCCAGCCGAAAAAAAAAGCACCAACAGAGACACTGCTACGGACCTACACCGTCACGTCAAAGGAAACCCAACATCCCACACCCCATGCCTGGGCCCTGGGTGAGCATTTTCGGCGCTCTCTAAGGCGGTACAAGCTCACCCCGGGCCATCAATGGCGGGTAAGTCGGCCCACCAAACGCCCATCGCTGATGGTTCCGTCTACTCTGCTCTGTTGTTGCCCGTAGGACACAGCCAGGGCTTGCTGTGTTGGTCCGGCCGTTTGTGCGGTTGTCGCAGTGCCGGCGCGTACGTAGGTACATGTGGGGGTGAACTGGGATTAGAAGGGAACATGGGTTTTTGACATAGTCTCTGCCGCAATACCGCCCGCGCGCCGTTTGGGGGCTTGCAACTTGCGTTCGAATTCGGAGGAGGCTAAGCTTGTTGATCACATCAGGTTTTTGGGGGGTCTTACGCATGCTTTTCCTCTTGCTAACCTGTTGCTTCGGCCCTTGGAACTGAACACACACCCCGGTCTGGCGCCTTCGCCGCCCCTCTCTCTCTCTCACCCCGTCCCGTCGCTGGATGGGTAACCGGGAGCACGCATCGGGTTCTTCGGCGGATTGGGTCGTACGTACACCACGCAGTACATACACTACGGGATGATGGGGGGAGGATGGAAGGAATGCATATGCGTATGTCTATTGGGAATAGTTAGAGGTAGATAAAACCAGTGCGGCCCCCTCCCCTCCCTTCTTCTCTTGAGCTGTTCCTCTGGTGGAAGAAGTGATTGGTGTACCTGTCGAGCTTTGCTTTCTCAAAGTTTTTCTTGGCTTGCACCTGGACGGACGTCCCTCGACTTTCGACAACCTCGCCGCAAAATCGGAATCTCTCATACTGCAGGGACTTGGGGGAAAGAAGGAATCAAGCGCTCTTGCTCCCTGTTCAAGCTTGCCTGCTTATCGCCGCACCGCACCGCACCTCTCGATGACGTTTTGCCCACCTCAGACGAACAGGAACTGAGAAGGAATTAAACGACCGCAACTTCCGGAGCTCTCCAATACTCATATTTCTCAAAAAATACCCTACAAGCCAAAGTCGCACAAAGTTTGGAGCTTTCAAAAAGTCGATATCAGCCAAAGTAAAACGGCGGAAAATCAAGCCAAAATGCAAATCGGACGCCTCCTTTCGATGATCGTCGTTGGTCTCACCATCGCGCAAGCCACACCGATCCAAGACAAAACTTCAGCCTCAACCCCTAGTGTGCAAGAGCGGAAGGAATCGCGGGGCAAAGCACCCAAGTACTTTCAGGAATCAGAGTAAGTCATCAAATGCTTCTCGCGCCAATTTTTGTGCCCTTTTCGATATCTTTGGGACGATGATATTTGGGGGGGGGGGGGGATGAGATGAAAGAAGCGACCAAGCGTCTTCCCGAAACTCTAATAAACCATCCCATGAAGATCACCAACACCAACACCTTCCTCACGACCTAGTACCTTATTCTCAACGGTATCACTAACACCCACACCAGCTTCTCAATCCACTACGACGCCCGCTTCGCCACAAAACCCCTCAACGCAACAGCCCAGCGCGAAGCAGTACAGGTCCTGATCCAGACCTACCTCGCCACCCTCCGCGACCTCGGCGTCCAGACCTGGCTCATGCACGGCTCCCTCCTCGGCTGGTGGTGGAACAAGCAGACGCTCCCCTGGGACTCGGACGCCGACGTCCAAGTCACCGAGAACGGCATCAACTTCCTCGCCGCCTACTACAACATGACCACCTGGTACTACAAGTATCCGACCATCCCGCAGGGCCGCTACTTCCAGCTCGAGGTCAACCCCAACTACGTCCACCGGGGCCAGGACAGCTTTGACGAGGACAACGTCATTGACGCCCGCTGGATCGACATGGACAATGGGCTGTTCATCGACATTACGGCCGTTCGCTATGTCGAGGACCACCCCGAGGGCGAGGGTGTGCTGGCGACCAAGAATGGCCACGAGTTCCGCGATACGTTCCTGTATCCCTTGCTTGATACCACTTTTGAGGGTGTCAAGGCCAAGATCCCTTACAAGTACAAGGAGATGCTCATCTCCGAGTATGGAGAGAAGGCTTTGACAAATCAGGAATTCATGAAGTAAGTCGACATAATCTCCAATGCACTAACTGGTTGCTAACGATAGTCTCTAGCCATAAATTCATTGACAGCAAGATGCAATGGGTTCCTACTGATGAACTCTGAATCAAGAGGCATAGGCGGCTGTACGACTTTCACGGATAGGTGTATGGGCTCAGGCGTTTGTGTCAAACTTTCGGACAAGGTGTCCGCTTTTAAAACTGATCAGTCTTCATTTGTGGCGTTAGGGAATACCCAAAGCTCTGATTTCAATAAGAAAAATGCCAGTTTTCGCTTCTAACCAAACCTGTTTCTGCATCCTCGCTGTCCATATCAAACTGCCTCTCGTGTCTCAGATCTGGTCCTCGTCAAGATTCTCGAACACCGCATCCGCGATAGCACCGCCACCTTCCGTCATGCTGATCTTCCTGATATCGGTCATGGTCACATTGTCGTGCTCCCCAGGTTTACCGAAGTGTTACTCTGAGCGCAATCGTCCATGCTTCGGTTCAAATGACCTTGTAGAGCGCGGATGTGGACAACCAGGGGGCATTTGGAACCGCCGCTACATTTATGCGAGATGCAGCTCGTCAATTTGCTGACGCGCTGAGAAATCGTCGAGAGAGTGGCATCGTCCGGGTTCAAAATATCGGTGGGCCACAGCGTCTGGAGCGCGAGGATCCTGAAGTACTCGCCGACTCGAGAATTTTTCGTACAGACATCATCGTACAGATTTTTGTTGTTACAAATGTGGCAGGCCTTGGCGTTGAACTGGTGTCGCCGTCCGCAGCTGAGACAGAGCCGTCCGGCGATGAGATATCCTTCGCTCTGGGTGTCCAGGAGGCCCTCGAAAGACCAAATTTGCGAGCAAGCTCGTACCAGTCGTTCGTTGACATCAAACTGGAGCCTATCCAAAGCTGGATCGTGTTAGCTTCATGCATTCGACACATACTAGCTTCTGTCGAGCTTAAATGGCGCAGAAAATCGCGGGAACAGGAAAGAGATAACGGGGACTAGCGAAAGTGTAACTCCGTCACTCTTACCGAGAGATTTGCTGCTTTCCAGAATCATGAGCAGTGGGTCTCTCGCCCAGATTTGTCAGAAATGTATCGGAAGATTGCGAATAGCAAACTGCCTCAGCTTGACGAGTTCGTCTTTGGCCTCAAAGTTATCCGCTGACTTCAAAAGCATTCCAAGCTCCACAACAGATGGCTGTTCGCCATCGATAATGGTCTGGAGGGCTTTTGGGTACCAGATGCCGATCTACGGCGCGAGCGCGTCGTTACACTTCAGGAGAAGGTTGGTTTCCGAGACTCGAAGAAGCTCTTTAACGTCGAGTTTCATGTACTGATCTTTGTTGGTGTGGTGCAAGACCGAAAGTATGCAGCGGAGGGCTTGCCTGTCAATTCTCCATGATCCAGGTAAGAGACGGACGAAGATGCACTTGCAGCCATCCTGCCCGCTCAACTCTGTATCGATCAACTTCGCAAATGGTGCCGAAGCAACCCGGCAGATCTGGGAGGATACGCGGAAGCCAGCGAGCATTGTGTTCCGAGAGTCGAGGAGAATTACGTATAAGTCTCCATGGGGGAAAATGGTTTCGGACTGCCCGGTGAAGTGCTTCACTTGGTGTACGTCCGGGAACTGGGGAACGCCCCCCAAAGGCTGTCCCTCGTGGAGCTGCTGATGCTGCCCGGAGTCTGTCTGGGTTACCATCCCGGTTGATTGTGCGCTGTTGACCGTCTTCTCAAATGGGTGATTTTCGCCGTCCATAGGGATACGTGTAAGCGATAACGCGGTAGAAAAGGCCGTGGTAGTTTTTGATTAATTGGTAAAGTAGCGCGGTTCAGTAGATGAGTATGGAAATGGCGAGATGAGGCAGAGAGGATAGAGAGATTCAAGAAGGAAGTGAAGATGAAAAGCTTGGATGTTATCTGCGGAGCTTCTAGAGCAGTAGGTGCTCTGTCTCGTGCTTTCCGTTGAGATGTCTATCCCGAACGCAACTGCCACCACCGTAGTATTTGAGCGGGAGTCAGACCCGCCTTGTCCAAGGAGCCACCACCTGAGTCCTGAACGAGATTGGGTAAGGTAGTATAGGTAGTTCGTTGACACGCAAAATCATTTGACGACTTGAATATGGCAGGAAGCTTCAAGAGCGTCCGTTGATTCTTCTTATGCTAGTTTGCCTGCTTGTTCCAGCACAAAAGTGTCAAACGGTTCCATATACAATTCGAGCAGCATAGAAGGTCAGTGGAATGATATCGATACCAAAGGACTTGTTGAGTGGAATTCTATGACCGGTACTCCTTAAACTGATCTGGAAAAATGATCTGAGATCAAAATGCTCTTGTTGCCCAATTACCGCCGTGTCCTGAAAGCCAAAATCACCAACTAACCCACTTGCCTTTTGAAATTCGTCAAAACCACCTGACCGCTCTACTTTGATTCGCACGTCAACGACTTGCTGGGCTCGTCCACGCCGTCAGCCTTGACAGCATCATCATCAGTGGTAGAAAGCTTCAGCTTCCAGCCCCGGATGCCGTCAATCACCTCGACCACAGCGTCGTCTAGCTCGCCCAACCGCTTCTTCAGGGGGCACCTCTGGTCAAAGTCACACCGGTGGGTGTTCATTTCCCTGATCTTATTGAAACGGCGAGCGATGTCGGCAATGGTACTCTCACGCCATGCCTTTTCGTTCGGGTACAGCTGTTGCTTTAAGAACATGAGCGTGCACTCAGCTACTCTTGTCTCGGGAGAACAGACGACCGGAAAGTCACAGACTTCAGACTGTTGACCACTGGTAGGCGGGCAGTTGGGGCAACGGATGTTCTGGGTTCTCTTGTAGGTGCGGAGACACTTGCTGCAGCGGGAAGTGTCCATCAGGCCTATCTCTGATTGATTCCGTCCAAGATCGATGATGGTTCCCTGCAAGAGAGCGTACAGACGTTGCTTGACTGACTTCGTCTTGCGAACGATGTTGCCTAAGAACTATTAGTCAAAGTGCCTCTCAACCTACTCATCTTAGCAAACTCACGAATGACGTTGTCCGGCAAGGCAGACACCATATCGTCTTCATACCAAGCATTGAAGTCAAAGTTCATTGGGAGATACAAGATAGCAGATCTTGTCATCTTTTGAAACTTTGCCGACTCGCCGAGGTACGCAGTCGCTGCCAAGAGGTAACCAACGTCCCCATGCTGCACCTGCCCAAAGTTGACGAGCCAGTGATTCACCCATAGTCTCAGGGACGCAGAACAGTCGTACTTGTCCAAGTGTATGGCCACGACTGCAATCATCTTGGCACTGAGGTTGTACCACTCGTCTTGGTGCTTGTAGTGTAGAATGGAAAGGATTATCTTCATGGCGTCGGGGTTGTCATGGTGCAAGGTGATGTCAGGCTTCGAACCGGAATGGGTCTTGGCATCTTCCTCGAACTTGGAAGCAAGTAGGGAGTCGAAGGACTTGGATGCGACTCTCAGAATGTGAGAGGAGACGAGGAATTTCTTCTGGGTGTTGTTATGAGCCACAATAAGAGCAACATCCCACGAGGGGTGTAGCTCGACGATGGACTCATCTGCCATCTCAACGTCAGCCATTCTGGGAGAGTCCCGCTAAGAGATGGTGTTTATTAGAGATTTAAATCGTGTAGATGTGATTTAGACGATGATGAAATGGAGGATGTGACACTGCGCTTGATATAGGTTGGAGATGTAAAGTCGAAAATGAGTGATTTTGTGCCTTGAAAATGATTAGAGAAGATAAGTGAATGAATTCATGGAAAATTTAGGAAGAGTGAATGAGATGTATGGGAAGGTAGGCTCCCCCTCTCCCAGAGGGCAACGATCAACCGAAGGAAGCTGAGGAGTAAAGTTGCTGTTGACCGAGTCTGAATGGCGAAGGCTGGTCTTGTGTTGATAGGTTGAAGGCCAAGTTGAAAGTTGGACGCTCTAGAAAGGATGCAAATATCCTGTTCTCTCATTAAATACCAAAAGTTTCCTGCAGTTGGATTGACGATCGAGGAGGAGCTGTTTGGCGGAATGTTGGTATCGGGGGAAGGTACGATGATATCTGTAAGAAGGCAAGACTGATATTTCAAGACTTAAAAGGCTGACATGCAAAGAAGGGAAGACAAGTGCAAGTAAGGAAAGTATTCAGGAATATCTGCCGACTTGTGTCATGATCGAATCTTACTGAGATGGCGTCGAGGTTTTCGAGTTAAGAGCTTTTACTTGACCTGGCTGGCAAGAGCTACGGAAAAAAGCAGATATCGGATTTGAGTATCCTGAACCCAAGTAACAAAGCTGCTTTTAGCTTACACCTAAAATGTATCTCGAACCTTTGAGTGGAAAGAGGGGAGCATATGAGAGCACAGAGTTGACAATGCGAGTGAGGGAGCAAGTGTGATGCATTCATCATCCCTCAATTTACTGGCCAAACAAGAAATGAACCTCTGCTTCTTGCCCAATTTAAGATATATCTCAGCAAAGTCAAAAGTACCACTTGATGAATGTTTTCTTGAATGCCTTTGAGGGTTTGTATTCCTTTTCATCCTCAAACAGTGACAAAGCAATGGTTCAGAGGCATCGTGTGTGTGCACGGGCCACAAAACGGCCTGCAGGGGGGTCTTGTGTAAAGGGTCGTCGCGACACGCCTGGCCAGTACTTTAGTAGACGCGCCGCCCCTCAGTATCCTGTGTAGTGATCGGCCTGAGCTCGTTCAAGTATGCGCTCCAAACCACAATAGTCACAAATTGATGTCTCGTTCTTCCTCAATGATATATCTCTTGCACACGAATAATCCGGGGGTTTCATTCGCACTTGCGAACTCGTCCTAGTCCGCAGTCATGACCAGTGAGTCCAATCGCAGAGCCCCACCAACGAGAGATGCTGACCTTCAACAGCACGAGGGGAGCGCATGCAACAGCGCATGCGAGGAGCTGGGTAAGCTATTCCGGCCCCTTTAATGCTTTCTGCCTAACCGCAATATGTGAAGACATGGCCAGATTGACGATGTTTCGTTTCAATTGGACTTTGGCGACGACCTCACAACCGAAATCGAAGCGCAAACTAGCCCCGAGAGGCCGCCGCCCCGACCGACGCCGACCCCGAATACATCTGCCAAGCGACGCAGACTAGACAGCGAAACAGCGCGACCTGGTATCACCGAGGTGGACAATGTTAGCCAGACGCAGAAATCGCCAGGAAAGCCAGATGTCTACGAACTCCAAGAAGAAACCTCTACCGAATCCGCACAAGCCACAGTCGCGCAGCCCGCAGCGAGGCCCGATGCCGTTGTCGAAGCCGGCGACCCCGACTCGGTCGAGTCTCTGCCGCCACCGCGGCCCGCCCCGTCAGCTTCATTTGTTTCACCAGTATCGAGGCGGATGACAGCAGATAACACCGAGGTTGAGGAGAGTCCTGCGGATGCGCCGGGCAGTGGGAGACGGCGGAGAATCACAACAAGCAGTGCTGTCGCGTCGAGCGCGAGGTTACAAGAAGCCCTATCTCCGGGAGAAAACGCAACAGAAACTGTTCCGATATCGTCTCCTTTGGAGCGCAAAGTGCGGCGGAACACGACTAGCACTCGCAGGTCCACACTCAGCTCTCGTGGGAGTCGTAATTCGGCCGCATCTGCCAACGAGGACCTGGACGAGCTCTCTCCGGATCGAACAGCAAACTCTGTCTCTAGGACAAGGTCTCCCGAGCTTTCATATCGTGGTGAAGCAGAGCCAGAGGAAGAGGAACAAGAAGCATCAGAAGTACCTGCCGACGTATCAGAACGAGCAAGAGCAAATAATTCCCAAACCGAATCGATACTGGGACCGGAGCTGGACGCTATCGTTGACGAAGTGCTACAGCAGGAACAGGATCACAATGAAAGCTTGGCCGAGGAAGTGGGCGCGAAGGAAGCAGCTCAACAACTGGGTCGGAAGCGACCGCGCACGAGTCCCCGGAGGTCATCCCCGGAACCAGATTCTATGATGATTGAAGAGGAGCAACAAGAAGAGCCCGTGCCAAAGAGGCGACGGAAACAAGCTCAAGAGAGCCCAGCGAAGCAGAAGCAAGGCAGACCGAAGGCGGTCTCCAAAGGCAAGGCGGCTTCTACAGCGAAGAACGCCTCACCCAAAGCTGCACCGAAGCGCAGGAAGAAGTCCGGATCAGATGGGGTCGATGAGGCTGTATCCATTCCCGTGCAGCGCTTCACAAAACGTGTGCAAGTGGCTGAAGGCGGCGACGACGAAGCAGACGTGCTCGCTATGGATATCCCTTTCGCCGGGCGCGGCGGTGTGAACACGGTCGACGTGTTGACCCATACGTGCGACGAGATTATCGAGACTAGCATAGAGACCCTGAAGGAGGGAGTGCGTAATGCTCAAGATGCATCCACCAAGAGGGAGCATCGCGTGCAGCAACGGGCCCTGGAAGCGTATCAGGACGAACTGAGGACGCGGCTCCTCCAACATGTGGGTAGATCCGCACCCCGAGGCTGGTGGTGGTTGCCACCGTACCGTGCTGACTCAAAAATTTCAGACCATTCTCCTCGACACGCTCCACAGCTTGCGCAAGCGAGTACGCAGTGTCCAGAAAGAGAGGATCACTCTTCGGGACGAAATCATGCGTATCCGAGCCGAGCGAGACCAGGTGGCGCTCCGGAAAGATGCCGTCAGGATTAAGCACGAGAGGGTGACGGAAGAAGCACTGGTAATGTCACACCCTCACCCTGCCCAAAAGGCGACACCACACACCTTAACTCAGCCTTATGAGCTCTTTCTAACCGGCCGTTGTGTTGTGTGTGCCCACAGAACCAATTGAGCTTATCTTCGCAGATGCATGACATTGACATGGCCGTGGAGCGCGGTCGCGCGGCCCCCGAGTTGAGCCCGGCCGAGAAGAAGACGGCAGAGTTGGCGAACCTCGAGATTTTGATATCCAGAATTACGGACCAGGCCTGTACGCGCAGTGACACGGGGGGCACGCTGAAGCAGGTGAAGGATTTCAACGCGTTCCTCGAACGAGCCGCAGTAGCTCTCGAGGGTCGATAGACAATAGACGAGACGCAACAGAGAGACCGGAAGAGAGGCAACAAATGGCCAACGCGATGGTGATGTGATGTATTTGCCCACGTCATATCTGATCTTCACGACGAGTTTGGCGTTCATGTACGATGCTTGGGGCAAGCAAAGTTCGGGCTTTGGGGGGAAGAGGCAAGGAAGGGAGGGGTTCAACGGGTGGCCTTTGCCGGGGATACCCAGGAGATTCGGCTTTCGGCTCCCCCCCTCTCCCCAATTGATGACTATGATAATTCAGGCCAAGAAAGCCAAAAGAAGGAAAGCAGCTGCTTCAGCTTCCAGTCCTTCACGGGGGGTTTACCAATAGGCGGGCGTTTACTACCACGCCGTTCTGGCGCAAACTCTATTCCCCAATAACACGACAGCCCAAAGAGGGAAAAAGCTGTCTTACTTGGGGAGCTCTGTAGAGCGCCATTTACTTTTGAATTGAAGACGAAACTAGACGCCAAAGCAAATCCAAAACTGGCCCAAAGGGAATCGAAGAGAGTCTGGACCGTTTCCCTGTCCTCTTTTCCAAATCCAAATCCAAGAAGAACTTTTTCGTTCTCTTTGGAAGTGACACTATTTTTGGTCTTGTTGGTCTCCGTTCCCCATTTCGACGTCACTAAGCCTCATTCGAGTATGACTATGCGCCTCCCCCATCCACGTCCCAAACCTAACTATCAGATCTCTTTTTCCGTACACTACTCTTGTAAATTACCCTGCAATGCAAGAGCCAGCTGGGCCTAAGCCATCATTGACATCCGTCATTCTACCCCATATAGTACCGTCGAATACCACCGTGACTGGTTGGGGATCCCTGGAAATCGGGGTGGCCGTGTTGTCACTTTTGGTAGGCGTCCCGGGCCCGTGTGTCTTTTTTTTTGTTGTTGTTCCCACTCTCCGCAATGTGGCGGTCGGCCACCCGGTAACTTCCACCCTGCTAAGAACTGAACCGTGAGGTAAACTGCGCAAGTGTGGTGGTAAGGTTGAGCTTCCCCGTGCTGCCCAGTGTGCCCGTGTCATGACATCCCATCACGGAAGTACGGCACTTTTTCTTCCCTGTAATAGTGCCTGTCCCCAATTCGTTTCCTGCAAAGTTCCTACAATCTAATTCCCGGCCTGCCCTACGTGCATCACACGCCCCCCCCCCCCCTCCCCTCTCGTCCACTTCTCTCCCCTTCGCTGTTACTCTGCCACTTCTCCCCCCCCTCCAAGCCCCTGGACCCTGTGCTTCGCCCGACGACGAAGCCACAGAAGAGAGACGAAAAAACTGGGCTTCGGCTACGGCGAGTGGGTGAATGATTGGATGTTTTGATCATGGTTTGCCGCTTTTGCATCCGATGAGAGAGAGAGCTGCGCTTATTCGAGGGGCCCAGTGGAGGGAGTGCGAAAACCGGGAAAGGCCACCACAGGAGGGGGAGGGGTGTATGTGTGTGACACTGAGCCGAGCGAGTTGGTCTAGTTTGGACAGGATAGGATTCCTAGGATAGGATAGGTCAGGATAGGTCACCCCGACGAGGTTTAGGGATCCTCGGCCACCGACCGCTTCAGCTGGGCTCATTGGGGGAGCGAGGGGGGAGGAGGGCGCCCAGTCTCCTGGTTGCTGAGGTGTGTGCTGCTTTTACTACTGCGTAGCTACGTAAGTAAGGTGAGGGAGGTATGTAGGTGAGCGAGTACATAAGGCGGGAGGGGGAAGCTCTCCTTCTCCTCAATTCTTCTCGACCCAGTTGTTAATTCAAACCACCATCACCATCATCTTCACATAGACGTCTGTATAGACCCGTACATACAACCCGCCACCTCTCTCTTTCCACCACCAAAACAAACCAAACCGTCAATATGCCCGCTCCCGAGGCTCCCCAGCAGCAGGCCCCCATGGAGGTCCCCGTTGAGAACGGCATCGTCACTCAGCAGCCCGTAAGCTTAACTTCCTCTTTCCTACATCACGAGTCCAACGGTGCTGACAATGAGATGATAGTCCGCCGAGCCCCAGCCCGAGATGGGTCTCCGTGGTGGTGAGGAGGCTGGCTGCGAGCTCTGCTGCGGCCTCTGCGGCTGCGAGGAGTCTTGCTGCTAAGCAGTTCCTTTCCACGATTGACGGGAAGATGATAGTGGAGGAAATGAAACTTTTGGGAGGAACTTGAGGGTCACCCTTTTTCGGCGTTTAGGGGCGATTTACTACCATCACCTACCGATTCTAGGAGGAGACGGGAACGACTTGGAGATTTTTGGATGCTATTATATATATCACCGATAAACAATCGAATATATTTCACTTTCATATCAAATTCTATTGCAACCTTCAGATGTCTGAGCCAAGCAATGTCGTTGAAGAACAGAGGCTCAAAAAAGTCTTGGGGTGATGCGAGGCGGCGGTCCCTGGGCTGCCAAGCTTTCAAGTGCGCGGGTAGATCTCTTGGGGAGTCTTGGCACGCCTTAGCGAGGTGCTTGGAAGGGCTGAGTGGCAGCAGTGTGTGCGAAAGGGGATTGCGGGTACGTCAGACCTCGCTGCAGAAGCCGCCCGCAAGCCGAGACATTTTTTTCTTGCCAGCTGTTGCAGCTTTTGCTGGTTACTGCGCCATGCTGTCAACAACTTCACTTCATCCTTCCCCCGCCATTGAATTGTCCTGCACCACCGCCTTTTCTGGGCTCATTGGATCTCCGTAGAAGAATCGTCCGAGGCAGGTAGAAGTCATCGCACTCTTTCAGGGCCTCACAGCGTCGTCATTCGTGCCCGATGACCGTGCAGCGAGGCACGTACTCGGGAGAAATGACGATGGACCCCCCGAGTCCCGTCTTCTTCCCGTCGGTTCCGCGAAGGATCACCACCCCCTTCCCCAGTGGTCGATGCGCCCTTGACGTGTTCACGAGCCCATTCCTGTCATGGTTTCAGACTTTGCAGGTTGCTGAGTGATTTTGTGCGATTTTCCCCATCACTTACCTTACTCTTTCCCGCCATTTGCTAGTCTGACTTCAGGTGAAACGCGAACTCTACCTTATTCCTCCATCCCCTATCCCCTGCCAACTTGACCTCCCTCCCCCAACTGCCGCGGACTGCGGACCGGAAGCTGGAACCCCTGGCCCTTTATCCTCCGTTCTTTGAACACGAGATGGGATGAGAGTTTCGTGGCTGACGCTAACCCTTGTTGAGGGAATTTACTGTGTACTGGGGTGAGGAGGCCTCGGTAGGTTGCAAGTTATTTGTCGTTGCTGAGGAAGTGCCGTGTCGTTTTTGGCGTCGGTGTGAGGTTGGCCAAGTCACGTCACAATCTGAGCTCTCACTATGACATCTCTTGATCAGGCTCTGTAGATCTTCCACTTTGAGCTTGAAAGTATCTCAAGAGATGATCTGAAGCAAGTTCAATATGCGAAAGTATTGAAGAGAGAATTGAGCCAGTGCCAGGCCCTTTTTTCTTTACATTCGGGAATGCATGCGTAGAAGTACAGGGTAGTCTACAGTCGTTTTTACAGAGGCCGGTATCGTGACCTACAAGACCCACGGCAACCCCAACCACGAGGCTTCTAACGATCCAATGCTCCAACTTCCATCATCTCATGTGGCTTCTCTCACGGGTTACTCTTGTCATGTAGACCCTGAGGTAGCCGTCACTCCAAGTTCAGACCAGAGGCCTTTTTACTTCCCACCGCCAAACGTCCCCGAAATACGATCCACAATCGTAGCCTTGCCCTCCGCCTTGCGCCTCTCCTTCTCCTTCTCCTGCTCGTCCCACAGCTTCTGCACGTTCTTGGCCACCTCGACGTTGGCCTGGAAGTCCGCCCGCAGCGCCGCCTCCTCGACCGCCCTCTCCGACTCGGGCAGCTGCTCCAGCTTCTCCTTCCACGAGGTCTCCAGGTCCGGCCTCGGCGTGTGCGCCGCGGCCGGTGCGGCGACGGGTATCGTGAAATCGAACTTGGGCACTGGGAGGCCTTCCTTCTTGGCGGCCTCCACGGCCTCTTCCTGCTCAATCATGCGCCCGTAGAGCTGGTCTGCGTGCATCTGGATGTCTTCTTCCACTTGGGCTGAGCGGCCGTTGATGGATTGGTAGCCAAGGGCCTTGAGGAATCTCTGTTTGGAGGGAGTGTCAGTATTATGTTCTCGAGACCTCCCCGGCTGAGATGAATTGAAGATGGGTCAGGGGGGGTATCCGCACCGTCTGCATGGTATAACACCTCTCAAACTTTTGCACTTGACGCCTGCACATCTGCATCCTGTCCTCCCAGTCGCCGCTCTTCATGCAGTTCACCCACTCCTCCTGCTGAATGGCGCAGTTCTCGAGCGCCGCCCGGCCAATGTTGTGCTTCCTCTGCTTGAACCCGTCCAGCACGTCCATGAGCTTCTCGTGGTCCGTCTTCGTCTCGGCTTCTACCTCGGCGTAGGGCCGGTACGTCTTCCACAGGTGCGCGTACCGACCGTCTTGGAAGAGGCTCTCCTTCGGCACGATTGGCCGTTCTGCGGCGGCATCTTGTGACTGTGATTGCGACTGGGCCTGTGCTTGTGCGGATGCTTCTGCCGCCAGCGCTGCTTGCGCGGCGACCCGTATGGCCTTTTTCTCGGCTTCTTGGACCTGCTGCTGCTGCTGGATCTTGACGGGGGATTCGCGCTCGAGGTATTCGCGGAGCTTGGGGTCGAGGGACTTGAGAGGGTCGTCGGACGAGGCGCTGGGGCCGAACCAGCCGTCGAACCAACCCATTGCGACGGAGAGGCTCGAGGATGAACGGGGAAGGTCTTTAGAAGAAACAAGAGCTTTCACCTGGACGAGTTTGGAAAGGATTGAGAAGCTTGGGGACTTTTCGGCTTGTCGCAAACTGGAAGCTCTGGGAGAATTTCGAGGTGGGTGGCCCTGGACCAATCAGGTGGCTGAGAAGACAAGGAACAGCTGTGCATACTTGAAGCTACGCACTGTATCTGGCACTGTTACATCAGGTCACTCTAATTATGCTGCTCTCGAATACGTTTGATGACCTTCAAGTCCGTAAGTGCGTCTTCCTAGCTACGTGCTTGGCATTACTCCGTAAATCAAATGTGCTGGTGCTAGTTTGGATGTGGACTTGTTTTGCTATCATTCTCGAGCTGAGGCTTCCATTTGCATAGCTACAGTATCTTGCCATCAAGGCAACTATTTGCCATGACAGCTCTCCACATCTTGGTCCGAAAGACTGTCGTTATGCGGGATGTTGTGACAGAGTCGAATGGGGCGCAGGAACAGCATGTCACTGGATCACCGAGGAGTCTACAGTGGCACAGTCAACCCATCCTAATCATTTTTTTCGTTCATTTGACCCGAGGCGTATCGCAGTTTTCCGTTCCCGCAAAAATCACAAGCCCATCGTGTGCCCAAGACAGCCAGAGAAGAATCTCTAGATCACAACCACGTGGCTTGGCTGATCGAATTCATTTTGGTCTCTGATTCTGCATCTATAACACTCATGTGGATGCAGTTTCCCTGATGACCTCCCATCCGGTATGTAATGAAGAACCCACACCGCAGTCACGCCGTAAATGCCAATGAGCCGATTTAGAACTTGCTGAAGGACTTGACAGCCTTGCCGGTGCGGGGAAGGACGCGCAGGACGTTGAAGCGGACCTGGAGCCGGTTGTGTTAGCAAAACAGATTCTTGATAGAGAACGAGCCTCGGGATCAGGCGTCGATCGTGAATGTCGCGTCGCCAACGTACAGTCTTGCTGAGGGGTCTGCACTGGCCAACGGTGACCTGGTCACCCTCCTCGACACGGAAAGCGGGGGAAACGTGGGCGGCGAGGTTCTTGTGGCGCTTCTCGTAACGGGCGTACTTGGGGATGAAGTGAAGGTATTCTCTGCGGATGATGAGGGTGCGGTGCATCTTGGTGGAAACGACGGTGCCGGTAAGGATACGACCGCGGATAGAGACCTGGCCGGTGAAGGGGCACTTCTTGTCTGGAGGGGGTCCAACGTTAGCATGTCAGTCCCTTGAATTGGTTTGTGTTGTTTCCCAGCGCGCGTTGCAACAGTCCTCCGTCGTGTGTCGTAAGTTTCCTCCTCTTGTTCTCCCAAGTTCCAATCCTCTTGTGCCGTCGTTTACAGTCCTCCATTCGTGTCGCAAAGTTTCGTCGGAATAGAAATGTCGTGTCCGTCGCGCGCGCATGGGATTTCCAACACTTCAATCGATCTCGCTCGCAAACGTACCGATGTAGGAGCCCTCAATGGCAGTGGCGGGGGTACGGAAACCCAGACCAACGTCCTTGTACCATCTGCGGCCGCTCTTGCCGGGGCGAGCAGACTTCGCCTTGGTCTTCTGGTTAAGGAAGATACCCTTCTGCTTCTGGAAAGCCCTCTCGGACTGGACGGTCAACTCGGTAGCCATCTTGACGTCGTGGTGCGGTCGACTGGGCGGGGGTGGGTGCTGTTGAGGGTTAGGAAGTCGTTGATGCTGAGCCGCAACTTTTCACCAGAGTCTGCAAAATCGGGGGTGAGAGAACGTGAGGGTCGGGCCTGCCCTGAAATTGTCATTAGGGCTGTGGACATGAAAAAATTAGCGAGGCGCCAGCCCCACCAGTGTTTAGCCACGTTTAACACTGCAGCCACGACTCGGACTCTCAGCCACTTTTGGATCACCCCAGCCACAGCTGACAAAGACTCACACATTCTTCACCCTGGCACGCCTGGTCGCAAACTTGGTCCATGCGGTGACAGCGGTTTTCGACGCTACCACAGCAACAAAATCGCGTCTATTGACATCACTTTCTGCAAGCCAATCAGAACCCTGGTGGGCAGTAAACAAGACCCATGACAGCCCACCACCCTGCTTTCGAGGGAACATACCTAGATCCTTTGGGCACATTCACGCCACTACCGATTCCAGTCGCGTAGCTCTCCCCAAGTTTAAGAGGTGACGTGTGCACGCTTCTTCCTTTGACCTGAAGCCTGATAGCAGCACATCGCCACCACCGGCACTGACTCTCAATATGGCTTCATTCGGCGATGCGACACTCCCCTCTACGCGCCGCACACGCAAGTCCATCGGCGCGACCACATCGTCGAGAAAGAATGGCGACAAGGAGAATGCGACAATCGACGTCGGAAGTACCCTTGCGGAGAGCAGGAAGAAGTCGCGTAGCAAGAGTATTGGCCCTGGAGGTCTGGACGCCCTGAAAAGTGCAAATGGGAACCGCAGAGCTGTAAGCAGTGTCGTCTTGATCATCGTCGTCTCACGCGGTTAACATGCGTTCCTTAGTCTTTAGCTGTGCCTTCACGGCCTCCGCCACGTTCTATCTTGAAGCCCACAATGCCCTTACTACCCGAGATTCCACCACATCGAAAGCGCGCATCTGACCTCATCGATCTTGGTCCGCCGCGGTCAAGCACCCCAACGACTACAGGCAGTACCGACCCTACAGGCTCAGGCTCCAAGATTGCCTTGCGCACCGAGGAAGAGCAGCAACAAGCAGCTAAGGAGCGCGAGCGCAGAGATGCAAGACGTAAATCTCTCGCAAATCGCAGAGTATCTTTTGCCGCGGAGGCAACCCTTCACACTTTCCATGAAATCGATTTCATGCAAGACCCGAATACATCAACAAACAAGTCGCGCCGCAGATCCTCTACCTCAGCCCCGCAGAATGAAGAGCCGACGGAGCGGCCATCAACACCGCCTGAGCAGGATGACGATATCGTACCGCAGTCGCCCGACAACCAGAGAGAACTACATCAGAAGAAGCGCAGGAGGAGCTCCACCGCGCCGCTCATGGAGTTTTCCGATGAGGAGCAAGATACCATGGCCACAGGTTTTAGCTCCGACTCTGAGCCAGCGGATGCCGTCGAGGAAGTTGCAGATGACGATGAGGAGGAAGCGTCTGATTCGAATAGCGACTCCGACGATGATGATGGCACGATGATGACCGTCGACGATCACGAAGTTACCAGCGCCTCAGTCATGTCCAGCCGGACAACAGCATCGGATGACGATAATGACAGTTTGGATGAGGCACTCCGCACAGCTGCTCGGCAGGCTGGCACACAAAGGCTCGGTTTCGATGATAGTGATGACGAAGAAGTCATTCCCTCTTTTGGTTGGATCAAGAAGAGCAAGCCTGAAGATGAGGCATCGCAAGGTCAAGAGAACACTGCCCCTCCCCCGCCCGTCCACAATAGCCCGCCCCAGGATGAGGATGGAGATGATCTGGACATGGACATGGACATGGAAATGGATATGACTGCTGCCGTCGGAGGCATCCTCGGTAAACCAGCCGGCGACATCGAACCAGACGAAGAGATGTCCATGGATGTTACCAGAGTACTTGGCGGCATTCTCTCTCGAAATACCAAAACACCCGCTGGGAATGACGTGGAGGACCAGACCATGGAGTTCACCACAGCCGTCGGTGCCATTCGCGATTCCAACGCCGATGATGATCTTTTCGACGACACTGGGGTGGAAAACGAGGATATGTCTATGGAATTCACGAGTGCCATTGGTGGTCTTCTGCCATCACATCCCAAGAACGATGCCACCCAGAAGCGCCGTAGGACAATGACATCCCGCGAGAACCCAGAGGAGGCAACGATGGACATGGATATGACTGTCGGTGTTGGTCGCATACTGCCATTGGCGGATGCGACTATCTACGGAGGAGACGCGACGATGGGCATGGACATGACTATTCCGGTCGGCCGTATCCTGTCTTCACAGGACGACACATTGAACGAACTGACGACGCCAATGGACATGACGCTCCCTGTTGGCCGTATTCTGCCCTCTTCCCAAGTGTCTGACCAAGATGAAGCAACTATGGGCATGGACATGACCATGGCAATCGGAGGCATCATTCAGCCATCACAACCTCCAGAGTCTCGCCTCGCCGCCAAGAAACTCATGGAAGCGGAAGTGGATAAGCCAGACACCCCTACCAAGTCCATGTCCGCAAAGCCTGCGTCACCTGCCAAGAAGCTGGCTGCCTCGGCCAAGAGACACTCAGTTGCAGGATCAGAAAATGCAAGCAGTCCTGGGTTTAACCCTTTCCAAGGCAGAGGCCTTCGTCAGAGCATGCCGGGTACAGGCTCAATGTCAGAATCACCGGCTAGAACCAGAGCTAGAACCAGAACACCCAGCCCGCCAAAGTCTGTCGCTCCTTCACACGTCGCTGCTGGAACACCGCTCGACAGTTCTCCAGTCAAGACGCCCCAATCGGTAAAGAAGCCTGCTCGCTCGAAGTCAAAATCTCCAACTAGAAAGCCTGCAACTCCTTCTCCTGAGAAGACCGCTACTCGGTTGAATATCTTCCAGCAAGATCCAGCCACCGGCGCGAGGACGCCAACCTTTGTTTTGACACCGCAAACCCGAAGGCACTCTGGCATCGGCGCGGACAAGCCGGGCCTCGGGTCACCCCGTGTTGCTGCGCTCCTTGACCGAAGGGGATCTCTCGGTGAGACAGTCCAGGAGTTCGTTCCCGGTAAGGTCCGTGGTGTAGCCTTTGCTAAACCACAGATCATTGAGGATGAAATCGATAGAGCCCGCCAAGAAGAGGAAGACAAAGAGAACGGCAGAAAAATTCTTGAGCGTGAAGCGGATGGTGGCGAAAACGAAAAGGACGCGACCTTGAACTTGAGGGAGATGATCGAAAGCTTGAGCCCTCAGAAGAAGCGCCTGCAAAGCCGAAAAAGTCTTCACGTCGGAAGTGCACGGGGTCTACTTGGCAAGCGGCCTGCCGAGCTCGATGATGAGGAGGATAGTGAAGACCGCGACGGTATCAAGAGACTCAAAGGCCATCAAGGCAGTCCGGTGAAGAATGTCAAGCTGCAGCAGCCTCCCAGTAAGGCCGAGACTACCGGTCGCAGGTTGACACGATCTGCCAGGAAAAGCATGGAGGAAAACGCTGCAGGGGAAGCGACGCCCACTCATTCTGAGTCGCCTCAGAAGTCTGCAAGCTCGGCAAAGTCACCAAAGGGGCACGCTCGATTCAGGGATGTCGAGGAAGACACTGTCCCGCATCCAATGAACCTTGAGGGCTCTCCTGCTCGAGACGAAGCTGAAATCATTGACGACGATGCTGAGGAGCGGATTCACCTGCAGGACTTCCTCAACATGACCTCAATTCGCTTCATGGAGCTCACAACCACCAAACGACGTCACACGCAAGCTCCTGATATGTTCAAGGACTTTGGTGGCAAGGAGGATTTATCACTGGAGAACTGCGTCGTCGCCGGTGCATGCACAGTACCTATGCTTGAGCTCTATCAGCATTCGTGCCGCGAACTCAAGAAGTACATCTCTGAGGGCCGTCGAATCGTTCGCGAGATTGAGTCCGAGACATTTGAGGAGAATCCGCCCTTGTTCCGAGAATACATGTCAGCATCGCCTGATTTCAAGAACATCCTGGACAATCAGTTCAAGAACGGAAAAACTCATGCTCGTCTCGAGAGCAAGGCGATGTGGTACGAGTGGCGAATGAAGCTCCAGGAGGGCCTGAGGGAGGGTCTTGTCAGGATCGCTGAGGGCATGGCCGTCGACGACAAGGTACTTCAGCAACAGCAAAAGTTGCTCTCTTCCGTCTTGCCTGCAATTGTGTCGCGTTTCGAGGTCCTTGAACAAGAGCACAAGAACCTGCGGGCTGTTGCAGAGGAGCTTGCCGATTGCGACCCGGAAGAGCTGGAGACTGCCAGATTCGACTTGGCCGCGCTTGACAACGATGTCCAAGAAAAGACTCGGCGGGTTGAGGAGCTCCGAAAGCAGCTGCAAGAGGCGGAACAAGACGTCGAGCAACTTGCGCAAGAGAAGCAACAATGCCACGAGGACATCAAGGAGGCTGAAAAGATCCGTGAGGAATGCCGAGGTTGGTCGATCAGCGAGATCAGTGCGCTCAAGGGTAAGTTCTTTTTGTCGTACACGAAGAAGTTTGACCCCACCAAGACTGACATGTCTGCAGCCCGAGTGGATTCTCTTGAAAAGCAGCATGGTTGGGCTGTGACTGGGGTTTCCGGAAGCACCGTCTCAATGACTTATCGCCGCGAGATTGAGCTGGTGTTCGACATGGCGTCCTTCCAGCGCGGCCAGAAGAACTCGCGCATTGACCTGTGGTACATTGCCGCAAACCGCGAGAATAACCCCCTGCCCTCAACGCCGGAAAAGGAATTTTTCCTGCAATGCATCCGGGACCACATCCGTGGCTTGCCGCAGAGCCGCACTAAAATTGCGGACCTCCTCCACATGGTTCATGTCGTGTGGGACAAGTCTAATTCCACTTCCAACCAAATTCGCCGGCTTAACGTCACCTTCCCCACGGTTGTCTCCCGGACTTCGGATTCATCCATCGCAGTCAAGTCTTCGCTTCTTCTGCCGCCGATTGAGACCAAGGTAGTGATTGCCCTGGAGATTCACGGAGTGAGCAAGCCTGACGGGATCGACTTCACTCTGAAGCCCGAAGCAAATGTTGTTTATGGAGAGCACTTCAACACTGGCAAGATGGCTGAGTTCTTGACCACCCACTTGGGCGAAGGGGCATTATCGCAAGAGGAGAGCGTGCCCTCGTGGATTGATGTTGTTGTTGACCTGCATGAGAGGCTCTTGGCGAGAGGGAGGAAGCAAGGTTGAGGAGCATTGGTGACCGTATCTTGTTATGATTGACGATGGTGGAACATTGTTTTTTGGGAGGCAGTATTTCCGGTTTCGTGGCGCGTATGGCGGATACCCAGAGCTTGATGCAAAGCATTGCTTTTGCTTCCGTAATTATCTGCATAATTTAAACGCAATTGAGTTTCCAACTTAAACCTCGCGTTCCATACCCTATGCAATTTCTTCTACGTGATTTCCTCTGGCCGTCACAGTCGGACGAAGTATCGGTTACGGGATGAGAATGACCGCTCCTCCAGATGGAAGAAGATGCGCAAATTCTAGAGCAGAGGTTCTGAATTTGAGCAGTTGGTGAGTATGTATTATCTCTGTCAGCATGAGATAAGTACGGAGCGAAACATGAGACACACATAAGGTAACGAGCAACACCCAGGGCAAATAATCCCTACAACTGAAGCTTAACGGGATGAGGGTTGAGTCTCGGTGAATGACTGCTCACCGAGGTGCATCACAAAAGAGCAATATCAACACCACATCTACATAGCCGAATCGTCCCACTGATGGGCGAATATTTGTTTACAACGTGACAAGTGATGTCTCAAGAACGCTATCCTGACCAACCACTACCCCTTCCACCCAGACCGGGCCACCATTATCCCGTCTAGACCCACCTTGATCCTGAATACGCATCCCCTTCTGGTATATTCACCTTACATTATCATGAACTTCACCTTAGCAGACAAGACGAAGGTGAATTATCCGAAAGCCCTGCCTCTCTTCACATCACGTGCCGAACGAACCAACCGCCCACCGCTGACCGCCAGCCGGCCCACCACCCACCCGTTGCCCATATCACTTTTTCTCGCGGCGAAGTTTTGAAAAAACTTCCTCCTCTTTTCCCTCTTTGTCGCGCTTCGATTACGAAATTCATCACCCATTATTTCTTCCCGGCTGCTGATGCTTGCACGCGCCGCGGATTTGTTTTCTCAATTGACTCACGACTTCCTCACTTACTCCCTGCTACTCGACAAGACCTCACGATGGATCTTGCGTGGTTGACTGAGGCTGGAGAAGTTTCCGCTTCCATCTGGAGGTGGATCTTCTCCATCCTAATCACCACGTACAGCCTCATGTACGACTTCGTCGAACCCTTCACGGAATCCGTGTGGATGGGCGAGATCGTAGGAGCTTCCGGTTCCTTTTGGGACTGGATCTCCTATCTCCTCACCACCGGTGACCAAGCTTTCCGCGCCTTCTTCAACATGGAGTTGGCACCGTTTACCCCGCTCAATTGCGCACTCGTTCTTGCTGTTCGTCTACTCTGTATCGCCGCGACTAAACGCCTTGAGGTGTATAGTCTGAGATGGAAGGACGACGGCAAAGATGATCCCTTGTTTCTCCGCGTCGACGTGGATGATGTCTCGGGCGTCTACAAGATCGAGCGAAAGCCCAGGATTCCTGGTACCTGGCCAGAGGTGTCCTCTCCGACGTCGACCAAATAGTATTGGTCGCGCGAGAGTGATCCCTCTGTTATGTGAGCGATATTCTTCTTTTCTTCATTGAAATTATTTCACGATATGCTGACAACAGGAACAGACCCCCCTCGCCACCGAATCAGGCGGTGAGCGACCCCAAACCTGCTCCTCAGACCGAGATAGAAGCCCTAAAGGCCAAGCAAGAGGAAGAGAAATGCGAGATGTGGGCGATTTACATTGCGGCAATCGAGCAGAGAAAGGCAGAGAACTCTCGCCTGAAGGCACGTCTCGCCAAAGAGCGTCCCCGTCCCACATTCGTCATCGACAAGACCAAGAACCTACCCGAAGTGATCCAAAAGAGACTTGGTGGCGTTGAAGGATTCGTCCACCACCCCCAGCCGGTCAGCAAGCAAGACTTTAGCCTCCGTGAGTCTATCGACGTTCGCCGCGAGATTGTTTCTAGCAACCAAGCGTTGGCAGCCAGCAACCACGCTTTGGCAGCCAGCAACGAGTCTCTCGCCTCAAGCAACCAGGTGTTGGCTTCGAAGATTGAAGCGTACGGCAAGGTTCAGCAGGACCTCGTCTCACAGCAATTCATGGCAAACTTCAACCTGATCCAGACCTACCGCGGAAAGAGCACGATGCGACCAGTTTCTGAGTTTTTCGATGTCGACAAGAGCACCAGCCAAGCAAGCGTCCCAAGCCAGACGTCGAACGCCCATGTTCATGTTGCAGATGTCGCCCAGACGCCGAGCAAGATGATTCAAGTCACAAAGTCAACACAGACTTCGGATCGCACCCGTCTCTCGTTCTCGCCCATTACTGTCTCACCTATGTCGATGGCTCCGGTCATGCCCTCGCCGGCTAACTTCAAGACGGTCCAATTCATTGAGCCAACGCAGAACTTGAGTCCTGAGCCTTTGTCTTTAGCATCGCTAGTCACCTCCTCATCAACCCCACCGGTACCGACCTTGCGAGTCGAGCCGAAGAAGACCGACAGCGCCAAGGCCGAGCTTGACTTGACTGCTACGAAGGTGAATGCTCCGCCTGCAAGCCCAATGCCATCGCCAAGTACTCTTGCTGCCTTGGAGAAGATTATTACCCTTCCCGACTCTCCGGTATTCTCGCACAGTACCCTTGGCGAGAAGGACTCCTCAGTTCATGCCTCCCCGAATCTGAGCTTGCCATCCAAGACGACTGAGAAGATGCCCTCACTTGGCACATCTACCGCAGAACTCAGTGCAGCTGCTGTCATCGCTATTCAGCCCCAGCCTAAGATCGCTGAAAAGTTGCCCTCGCTCATTGGAGAGCTCTCTTCAGACAACATGTTCGTGGTTCAGGCCAAGCGACTCAAGAATGGAGATAAGACATCCTCGCTTGGTACCTCTCCTAGAGTTGGCAATATATTCGAGGCCCACATCAAGACCGCCATCGTCAAGCCCACGGTCGTTCTGCCGCTTTCAGAAGTTCCTGTTCTACCGGCGCCGATCCCCGATGAAGAACCTGCGCCGAGCACCCTGACTCCTCTGATTTCCCAGTCACCTCTTGCCGCTGTCTCTGTCAATTCCTCAGCCAAGACCAACGAAGCTCCCAAGACCGAGAAACTCCATGAGCCAGTTCCTGGAGCACAGTCAATCCTGGTGACTTCTCAAGCCCCGAAGGCAGCTGCCGTGGCCGTGATTGCAACTCCTGTCGTTATACCTGGTCTGCCCGACAGCGACATGGACTGGGAGATAGACGCTCAGCAGAAGTCCCAAATCGCCGAACCGGAGTTTGACGAGGAGAACGAAAAAATGGACGAGGATTCTCCTCTGAAGCTTTTCTCGCAATCCGACTTTGAAGATGGCTCTGTTTCGGGCTCTGACTCTGCACCTCCTACGCCCTCACCTGCTCCTCGTCCGAATGGGCCTCAGCCGCAGCAGGTACTGGACGAACCTATTTTCGATGCACCCCAGGTCCGCCCTAACCGCGAGCTTGAGATGGACGAAGCCACCGTGCCTTCGGTAGACCGTCCCAACGCCCAGTTTCGACCTGCTCCTGAGGCTGAAATGATAGACGTCCCCGGCCCCGCAAGCTCTGAGTCCCAGTTAAGAGAAGTCCCAGAGAACAAGGAAAGGGAGTGGTCCTCGCCCCCGGTGTCCCCTTCGGTAACCCAGCTTGGTCCTCCTCCCGACTTCGTTGAGGTCGAAAAGGTCCCCGTCCCCGTCAGCCCTGAGCCGGGTTTGGAAAAGTCGCGGGAGAACGTCGAGGAAGAGAGATCTTCCTCTTCGGTATCTCTTCCAGCCCAGGCCACTTCTACTGCAGAGGTTGTGGAGGTCGACAAGGTCACCGTTGCCGCAGCTCCTGAGCCACAGGTGCCAAAGAAGCCCATAAGAATCAAGTTCGTCAAGAAGGCCGCGAATCCGCTGATGACCCCGGTTCGGCCGAAGAAAAAGACGGCAGCGATAGGGCCTGATACTTCTCCCAGACCCGATGCAGACAGTCCTGACGCCTTGATTGTCCAGGCCCCTGACAACTGGAAGTCTACCGCAAAGGCGGACACTGGGTCGAAGCTCGTACTGCTACCAGTGAGCTCGCTCAAGTCAGTCTCCCAGCCAAGAACGGACCTTCCACTAGATATTGCCGGATCTCGCAAGCCGAGCCCGCTGTCAAAGACAATCATCGAGGCCGAGCCAGACGTTACCGGAAAGCCTGAGGATAGATCGCCGTCTCCCATCGTCACTCGTACGCCTGAGCCCCCTGCGAAATCTCAAAACGAGACAACGACAACGACGACAACCACCGAGCCAGAGTCTAAAGTACCCGGAGAGCCCAAGGACAGTTCGTCCTCTCCCACAATCCCTCAGACGCCTGTGCCTGGAACTGGCCTCCTCGCAACGCCTTCGACGATTCCTGGTCTCTCATGGCCAGCGCCGCCCTCGCCAATGCCCTCGGCGACGCCACAGACCCTCGTCCTTCGAGACCTGTCTCCAGAGCCCAAGAAGGTGGAACCCGAGTCAGACGACGACTCAGACAGCGAGGTAGAGTTCCTAGGAATTGACGAGTACAGCCCGCCGCGCAAGGTCATGCCACTGCGTCGCCGTCGTTTGGCATTAGCTCTGGGGCCGGCTCCTACTCCCGAGGCCTCAACCTCCGAGGCTCCTCCCTCCCGATCGTCAACACCAGAGTCCGAGGTCTCATCGGAACTCCCTTCAGACTCGGACGACGACCAGGCAATGTCTGAGGACGAAGAACCTGCCCCTCGGAAAATCGCCCCGTTGCGTCGGCGTAGATTGGGAGACGAGGAAACGCAACGCGCTCAGGCACAAGAGCACGAGTTCCGCAAGAAGAAGCTCCAGGAGGAACAAAAAGAGTTGGACGAGAAGGAAGCGAAGTCCCGGCTTCTGCCGCCACTTCCCATGGTGCCAGCCCCTTTCGTCGTTCGAACTACGCCTTTGAAGTTCAATCCCTTGCCTGCGCCCAATTCTTCGTCCGAGCCTAGTCCTGCGTCGAAGCTCAGTCCTGCATTGCTTGCCGTCGCTCCTTCGCTTGCTGGGCTCGTGGTAGTGATTGGATCCCCAGAGGTGGAGGACGAGCTGAAGAAATCTCTGGAACCGTTATGGGACCTCATCGATTCTGACCAGTTGAAGATGTACGGACCCAAAAGCCTCACGCAGCTGGCTATCAGAAGATGGGGCGAGCTCATGGAACACAAGCGGTACAACAGGGGACAGAGCATCTTCCGGAGTATTTTCGATGATCTCATTGACAAATGGGCCGAGTTGGTTGTGACGGAAACTTTCGTCGCTCACCTCATTGTACTTAATGATGACGAATCACAAGCTGAGATTATGGACCCATGGCTTCAGAAGATCAGAGAAGCCCGGAAGAAATGAACAATCTTGAGACGATATCAAGAAGTCAGTGAGATGTCGAGGACCGCAAGATTGAAGAAAAGGAACGAAAAGACCAAAAAAAGGTCCGAAAATCACAAAACCCAAAAAAAAAACCACCCACACGCACGCGTACGACCTTACTTACGAAGTTTCTTGAGACGAGATCAAGAGAGCAGATAATGGAAGAGGAAGTCGATGAAAGAGAAAAAGAAAACACCAAAAAAAAGTCTCAAAATCACAAAACCCGAACAAAAAACCACCCATCCACCTGTACCACGACCACATAGCACCAGAGAGACTGGAAGACGGAGAGCGACTGCCGCGGCGTTTGATTACCGACGTACGAAGAGTTTGCTATGTTTGTTCGGATTACCTGTTTTTCACCTTTGTCCAGCCATTTGTACCACCACCACCGACAGCGCGATTCGCCTGACCTTCGCCTTCGTCGATCGCCCAAGCATCGTCCTCGAGAACCTCCCACTCCGGAACGGCAACCTCACTGATAAGTTTCTTCTTGAGCCTATCAGCAAGCTTCAGGGGGGTGGGAAGCTTGAAACCGCGAATGAATTCGGATCCCTCTGCGCTGCCAAGGAAAGCGTGAGCTGTGCCATGGGAATATCGTCCCATCCACGAGGGAGCTTTGCCGAGCTCTTCTTGATCAAGCGCATCGTGCTTCGCCCCGGGAGATGAAGTTGCAGGTGGATAGAGGCGACCGGTCTGGGTGCTGTGAAGTTGTTGGCCAATGAGCAAGTTGTACAAGTTGCGGCCCATATGACACACATCCTCGAACGAGTTACGATCTCCTACAAAGACGCCCTGAGTACTGCAGGCCCAAGCAATATCGTACGCCAGCAATGTCACGCCCTCCAGGAACAAGGAATGAGCAGCAGGGTCTTCCTTGGCCAGTATGGGTAAAGTCTTATCGACGAAGAGTGGCCGCGGGCGAGGCATGTACTGCGGCTGGCTCTCGCGCTCTTCTGCAGAGAAGCTGGTAACGGGCGAGGTTCCAGGAAACGGCACTTCCCCATGCTGATACGACGAGGAAAGATTGAAGATGGTCGGGCGCGGATAGTCTCGATGCGGCAGTGTTATCTCTGCAGGGAGCCTAACCGAGAGGTAATGACTTGTCAAAGCCAGAATATGGGCGATGTTGGCGAGAGAGGTGGACAAGAGTTCTGGCGAAATAACTGTCAAGGTCAGTTTAAGTGTCACTCGCCAAGTTTGGAGTGCGATACTAACCATTCATAGATGAGAGATCGACGATGTCAACACCCCCGATCTTGTACTCGTACCGAGCAGATGATCCCTTCTTGATGCGACGAAGTCCATACAGCTTGGCGGCCTCCATGCACAAGAAAGATCGAGTCGACGACATCTGGTCCGCACTTCGGGTCCATTTGTACTTGGCAACCGAGATGGAGCGTTCAGTCTCTTCCAGCTGTCTAGTTCTCCGAGCAGCTATGCCACTCGATGCAGATGCAAGGTCGGATTTGCGGCGAATGAGGGCGGCTTTGCGATCAGCAATCTCCTTTCTGGCAGCGGCAATTTCACCCTTGAGTTTCTCAGCTTGGGCGATGATCTGTTCAGTGCGATCTTCGGCCGATCTTTGAGAGGCACTCAGCGACTCGAGAACAACACTTCGACCAGGGCCATCATCTGCCTTGTCCTGAGCAAGCAGGTCGTTGATCTCCTTTTGAAGAGTCTCATTCTCCATCAGCGCCTGCAGATTCTTGATGCGACCCTCATAGCAGTGGTTGCGAGCATCGACGGCACAGAGAAAGGGAAGACGCTGAGCATTGTGAGGCCTGCAGCATATGTCGCAATTCATCTTGGCGATTTTCTGGTCGACTCCAGGCAGGCGGCGACTCGAGATGTGATACGATGAGGCGCATGCACAGAGCGTTGTTCCCTCGGAATGACGTTTGGTATTTGAGTTTCCGGTAAGTGGATCTTGGAGAGAGAAACCCCCCAAGGCCCTGGAAGGAATCACCGACTTGATATATACGCCGACTCTCGGAAAGCAAGGTGCGTTCGGGGCGTTCAGACGACCTGTGAGTGGGAGGTCGCTTGGGTCGTCGGTCGAGTCACGGGAACGAGGTCGGGTGAGAGACAATGAATGGGCCAGAATGGGAAACACTCGACTGCCGTTGGTGTTGGCGCAAGCGGACTCCGACAGGCAGCAGGGGTGACCCCATGGGCCATGGCACCCTCCCCATGTCCCTTTCCTGCGCCACACTTTCTTCCCTTGGCGCTTGCTTCCTTCTTAGCGCCACACTTTGAACTTTTGGCAGTCAGATTGCTAACGTCCCTTTGGCAGGCAGGAAACACCAACGGTACCGCTACAGGAGCCATTTGTCGTATTACCTCCCTGGAAGCGGTAGTAACACCCTGAGTTCCTGCCTCTCTCTACACCCGAAAATCAACAACACTTTCAAGGCGCACCAAAAAAAAGACTCCCATACACAACCAAAACCAAAAAAGAACAACAACCTTCACCATCGAATTTCTCAGCTTATCTTCTTCGTCCCTCAACTTCCTTGCACAACTTTTCAGGCCCATCAGCAAACATGGACGACGCGGGAAACAACCAGCAAAAGGCTAAGTCCCTCCAGACTACGAAGACACCTGAGCCTCGTTTGGACCAGCAACTCGCCAACGGTCAGGACAACGGCAACAACACCCCCAGCACTCCGGGTGTCTTTCCGGCTTTTGACTGGGACGATTTCGAAGCCAGGTACGAGAAGGCTCTCGCCGATGCAGACGAGAAGGAGCGCGAGCTCTTGCTCGAATTCGACGGTCTTGTCAAGGTATGTACGATGCCCGCTTTTTTCCAACTTACAGTCATGGTGACCATCATTCTACAGTACTTCAACGTCTGGGCATCCACTTCCAGCACCCATGACAATGAGCGCGCAGTCAAGCGCCTTCATACCAGACAGAGATTTGTCAATCTGGAGGAACAGAACATGGCTCAGAAGCAGGAACACAGTAAGTTCTCCTTCATCATTGTCTCGCTACCAAGTGCATCCGACTAACAGCTCATTTACAGTGACTGAGGTTCTCCGGGCCTTCCAAAGCGCCCTCGCCCTCTTAAGCAAGTCTTAAGTGCCTTCAAGGCTGGAGACAGGAGGAGCAATCACAATGTTTGATTATCTGTGCAAAATACTGCACAAAACACATGTTCGACTTCCCTAGCAGGAGCGCGCTGGTTCGCGTCCCCTTCCCACTTTCCCTGAGTGATGGTGGTGAAGCGGGCCCCACACGTGATCCAAGCTCCGGGCGCCCAACGCGCTGATCCTGCGGTCCTCCCATCCAAATATTCAACTTACCTACTTCCTTCTTACAACAATTTCCTTCTCTCAAATCTTCCTCCACCCAACTTCCTTCCTTCAACACCCATCTCCATCATATCTTCCCTCATTCAACCGCTTTTCCTATAAAACACCCACACCAGAAAAAAAACAGTCAAGAAGCACCACATCAACCCACCAACCTCAAGCTTCCACCCAGGCTGGCTGGCCCAAATGATGCCATCGTTTGCTGCACCAAGCGTCAGCAATGTGAGTCCCTCATCGATACCTTCCAATTTTCATACTGACTCCCATCACAGAACGACTTGGTAGCATTCTTCGAGGCTCATTTCTCTGGTGCGGCAGTCCGCAATTTCCAAGCTGATTTTTTGAATCCAAATCATCAGCCGGACGCTGCAACCACCAATGCCTCAGTCGAAGAAGATGGCGACGTCTTCGAGGAAGAAGACGATCTCGGCTACTATTACGATGGCGTCAAACGAACACTCACTGACGACCAAATCGCCATGTTTCGCCATTCTGAGCTCGAAACCATCAAGCGAGAGCAAGCGCGACGTTCAACGGCAGTACGCCAGGCAGGTGAGACTGGCGAGGATGGCACCCTTCGGGCTGCCGAGCCATCTCGCCCGCCGGGCAAAACTGCTAAGAACAAGAAGAAGAAACGGGGGAAGGGCAAGGGCCAAGAGCCCAAGCCCGACCTCCGCAAACGCACATGGGATGTCGTCGAGTCGGGGCTTGACACCCTCGACTACGATTGACATTCCACCGCCATCAACGCCCGGGCTGGCTGCCTCTGGTTGGGGATCTGTATGCCATTGGTGTTCACTCCTAGATCTTCTGGTGCCGGAAAGAACCATGCGGTTATTGACCCATGGGCCTTCTGGTACCAGAAAGAACTGGGGGTGTGCTACTTCTAGACCTTCTGGCGGCTGGAAAGAACCATTGGGTCAGTGACCCGTGGACCTTCTGGTCGTCGGAAAGAACTAGAGGTCGCCACTTTTTGTATACAGACACGATCATGCACTCCCAGCTTTTGCCACCACGCTGGGGATTTTCCCTACGCTCGCGCAACGTGCTGCAGTGCCTTGTGCACTCAGCACCGTTCTAACTGTCGCAGAAATTGGGGGCCTCACACACGCTCTCATATCTGCTTGACGACCTGAACGCTGACGTCGAGGCAAATGCCTCCGTCGGTTCGCGGGGCTTGATGTGCGGGAATCCACCAAAATCCACTGTCATTGAAGGTATGTTCATTTCTCTTTTCTCTTTACCCCAATACCCCGCATGCTATGATGAAAACCTTGTATCGTCATCCTTAGTCGGATCCATTGCCAGAGCTGACTATTGCCGGCCAATTCCGGCGCCTGAGTCGCACTGAGCTTGGACATGTCGAGCAATAATCTTCTCTCTGACAGCATTCTCTCGCACTTCTTGGTCTTTGCAATTACTCAAGTCGAGGGACATCTGCTAACATTGGTTCCCAGGTCAATCGAATCAGGCATGTATTGCCTCGTGGCGGTATGGAAGAGGTGTTGGATGCCGGATGGCGACATAGGAAGAGGCATAAGATGCCATACAGGAAGATGAGAAGAGGCATAAAATGCCCACATTGGGATGGCAGAAGTGGCCTTTTGAGTCGTGTGGGAACGGGAAGTTGCACATGAAGGACGTGAGGATGAGACGATGTCT